TTGTGAGTTATAGTACGTTTTATGTAATTTTCATATATATTACTCGGTCCTGATTTATGTGATACAAATGAAATTTCAAAAGTCAATGAATTTTTTATAAGTTTTTTTTTATATTAACTTGTTAATTATTGTGATTTCTAATATATTTACGTAAAACATACTCTAAATAAAAATAATTAGCAACTTAAAATATATAAAAACATACTAAAAAATTGATTAATTTCAAATTTCATATGTATCACATAAATTAAAACAGAAACAGTAACATATATTGGGCCCCGTGCTGGCACGGGGTCTCATATCTAGTATATGTAAGAAACCCCAAGACAACGAAGAGTCCTCACTCATCATTAAATTAAAGAATAAAATAAATAACAATGATACTTTTTCTCGTTAGAAATTTCGGATTTAACCCCATAAATCTTCTTTTTTGGAAAGTGTATCATCCTCAATGTAAAATCTCAAAAATTAGCTCGCAAAGAAAGAATATTTAAGTTTATTTAAATAAATAATCAGTATAACACATTATTCAATTACTACTATGTAACTCTAAGCCAATCAGACACCGTCAAATTCAAATTAAGACATGGATTGCGAGCAAATCAACCTGACTCTAACATCGTGAAACTAATTCAATTCCAAAAATTAACTTATGATAATAACATTGAATTTACATACATAGATAATCAGTCCATTTTTCAATTACTTTGAAACTCTAAGCCAATTTGACACCATCAAACCCAAATAAGGACATGAATCGCGAGCAAATCAATGTGACTCTAACACCATAAAGCTAATTCAATCTAAAAAATTAACTCATGATAAAAGTATTACCTATATTTAAGTAAATCATTGATCCACTCTAACCCATGACAAATAAAAAAACAAGGGTTGGTTGATGATTTTGATTCTTCATTGTAGAATCACATCAATAGATTGAACCAAAAAAGTCATTTTCATTCTCGTCTCTCTCTCTCTCTCTCTCTCTCTCTCTTCTTTAACAACTTGTACTTGTCTTGTTTATTGCAGATCACTTGCTTCAAGTACTAAGCTTCTTAAATTCTTTCAACTACAAATTCATTTACCAATTTTTGGGTTTTCCCACAATTCTTACGAGTCCTAAATACATTCTTCTTCTTTAAGGTTTTCTACTGAAGGAACTTAAATTGTTTCACATTCTTCTTCTGTTGTTGTCATTCTTGTGTTTTTTTACTTACATGTGATTCTTGGTAATAATGGGTGAAGAACACTTGACATTTGATCCTTCTGATAGAGCTGTTGAACAGGTTTTTCTTCTTTTCTTGATTTCATTGTTCTGTCTAGTAAATTTCTTTTTTTTTTTCCTAGACTAGATTCTGTTTTCCCTTTTATTGTATATTTTTAGTAATGTTAACTAACAAGGGGTTAAGGACAAATTCTTGTAAATCATCACAATTGGTTGATCAAGGCATTTAGAGCTCCTATATTGTTACATGAGGAAGCAATTATAACATGTCTGTGACATTCTTGTATTTGTATTTATTATTTGTAACATTTTCTTTAGACCTTTTTTTTGTTGCAATTTTATAGCATAATATAGGTCTAGAGAGCTGATAATACATGAAAAATATGTTTTTGTTCTTGTTGCTTTGAAAGATTAAATTAGAAAACTTGATGATCTCATTACAACTTTTTCTCACATTTGCTTAAATTTTAAACCTTAGTTCTCTTAGATCTTCTTCACTAATATTATTTTCCTTGATGATTGTCTCATATAACTGACCGCAATTTGTTCGGGAGTAGGCACGATTACTGTTGTTGTTGTTGTCTCACGAGTCTTCTATGATCAACTTATGGTTAAATTGCAGATTTAACTTCTTTTTTGGTTAGATAATCTCTTGGTAATTGTAGAGTGAAAAACTATGTTTTTTTCTCTGATATCAACCCTTTATTTGTTGTTACTTCCTCCAGGCAATAGTTGCATTGAAGAAGGGGGCACATCTTTTGAAGTATGGCAGAAGAGGGAAGCCCAAATTCTACCCTCTAAGGTTATCCGCGGTAAAGTTCTAATGAAACATATATCATTGCATTTTAACCAAGAAAATTGTCATAACAAATACTAAAGATAGATAAAAAGAGAATCATTTTTTCTTTCTTCTCAAGTACTGCAACGGTTGGGTCTGATTATAGGTACCATCCATTCTTAAACCTTTGCAAAACCTTCATCCATCATGTGTTACATCCCTCCTTGCATGCATTTGTTGATTCACTTCCCTCGACAACGAGAATTTAGAGTATATTGTATGGCCGCACAGTATTTTATGATTTTTCGGAGGAATTTATAGCATCCATCTGCTAATGTGTAATGTGCTGCCTGGTGACAAATCACCAACTCAGGAGTCCTTGAAAGCCTTGATCTACGGAACTGACATATACTTGTCCCCAATGCATGCATCATCAGAAGTGGCACACAAAATATTCTCATCACTGAGGCCATACAAATTGAACATTCCAGAAGCTTCTAGAGACCGGTGCCTGGGTACGGCAATTGAGGTTGCTAATCCACTGATTCCTTCCTTCATATACCTCCCCACCAATAGATAGAGACAAATAGGAATAACCGAACCACGTCTACAAAATGCCAGTCCACTTCTGTGCAGTCAATTGAGAGTGTGATTAGGTAAAGTTAAGAGCTTAACCAAATTACACCTTTTATTGGATCTCCCATTACTTTGATCCCGATAGTGACAAAATGATGATCTATTCCAACTGCAGAACTAAGAAGACAGTAAATCCTTGTACATTAGAATTCGACTTAGACCTCTATTAGTCCTTCTTTATGACATAAACAATAATATTCAAATTGTCTTTACAATGAATTAATGATGAGACGGGCAAAGCTCCTCTTTGCTGGAAGTGTTATTATCTGTATGTGGAAGTGCCTCTTGGATTGAGATTGTGCGATAAACTCTGGTTCAAGCTCCTAATGTCATTGCCATTTGATGTCTCAATTATTGTTGGTGAAGTATATGTTATTTTTCTTTCTTTCCAGGATGAAAAGTTTTTGATTTGGTATTCCGGTGAGAAGGAAAACCAACTGAGGTTAAGTTCAATCACAAATGTCATCCGCGGCCAAAGTACTGTAAGCAGTGAGGCAACCTTTCATATTAATATACATGACATTTTCTCAAGATATATACTTAAACGGTGAGATTTCCTTTGATTTGACAAGAATGTTTTGTTTTTCAATGAAGGTAATTCTTCAGCCTGAAATGGAAAGTCAATGCATATCACTTATATATGGAAATGGCGAGCGCACTCTTGATCTGGTAAATTGTCCATTAGTCCTAATTTAATTGAAGGATGTTGTACAACAGTACAATCGTGCATGATTTGTATTTCTGTTTATCCTTTTGTTATAATTTGTTGTTTCTCTTCTTTTTATAATTTATTTTCAGATTTGCAAGGATCAAATGCAGGCAGAGACTTGGTTTGTAGGCTTGCGAGCTGTAATATCCAGGACTCACCATCACAGAATGGTGGACTCTCTGAAAAGCAAAAGAGGTGCACACAGTTGCATCAGTAGTCCAGCGGGTTATATGCGGAGGAAACAGAATCTTGGACTTTCAGCAAAGACAATCAGACTGTCTCAGGTTCTTGACATCTGTCTTTGTTTTATTAAGTTCTCAATGCTTAACCTTGTGATTAACTGTTATTATCCCTGTGTGCATTCTACTTCCATCTTCAGAATGTCCTACTGTTTTGTTCTTGTCTGGAAACTAGCTTTGATATTGTTCTTAGTAGCTTTATCACTTGACTTATGTGAATGGATTTCGATTCTGTTAGTTCCTGAGAGAGTGAATTTACTCCAAAAGCTTCTGTTTCCGTACACAATCTAGTACTTGTACGTTGAGTTGTGACTTTGATGCTGAATTTGTATCAAGTCTGTGAAGGACAAACAGAAGAATAAAAATTGCTGGTGATAATAAATGGCTTAAATAACTAGAGAGAAAAAAAGATTGTTAATAGACAGTGGTCAATATTTATTCTATAGCTTCTTGAGAATTGTAGTATGTAACCGATTAAGTAAAAACTTTCATAATCCTTATGAGATCTTTAATCATTACTCATTAGTGCTTCTCCGTAATGTGGCTTGATGTCATTTTCTACATTGTGTTCAAATGCTGCTGTTGGTTAGTGCACCTGTACTTTGATAACAGTGCTTTTCTTTTGCGAGTTCAAAGCTAAAAAGGAAACTTGCATTTTGATCTTTTATTTCTCAAGAATTATCTTTCTTATATTTTCTGTCCTTCTGTGGCTATGTATTGTAAGAACTGTAATAAATGTGTTCTTTCTTATCTGGGAGAACTAAAAATAAAACATCCTTAGTTTGCCATTACTCTAAAAATGATATATACTTATTTGATCAAGGTTCGCAGCTTAGCGGGGAGTCCCACTCAGTCATTTTCAGAAAGATGTTTTACTGATGGCTTATCCTGTACTTCCGAAAGCTTTTTCTCGGAGTCAAGCCTATCGAATGTAATGGATAATTTTACATCATGTTCGTCATATTTTGAACCAGATGACTTAAGCCAGACGAGAGCATCTTGTGCTGGGACTGAAATCCAAACTGATATGCTAGCTCCACTTTTACCATCCAGTAATGAGTCAAGACCATTTGGAAAGAATGTACTGCGGGATGTTTTTATCTGGGGAGAAGGAGCAGAAGGGGGGTGCTTGGGGGTTGGGGAAGTGAAGTTGGATGGTTTGTCACCCAAACTTCTCGAGTCCACTGTGATGCTTGATGTACAAGCAATATCCATTGGTAGGAGTCATGCTTCCATAGTCACCAAACAGGGTGAAGTTTTTTGCTGGGGTGAAGGAAAGAATGGACGGCTTGGGCATAAACATGATATGGACACTGCACGACCAAAACTGGTTGACTCTCTTAACGGGGTTCGGGTAAAATCTGTCTCTTGTGGGGAATACCAAACATGTGCCCTGACCTTTTCTGGTGAACTATATACATGGGGTGACAACTCTTTTTGTGCTGAGTTAGTAGGTGAGGAAAAGAAGAGAAGCCATTGGCTACCAAACAGAGTATGTGGTTCTCTGGATGGTGTAAAAATCTCTTATGTTGCTTGTGCGGAATGGCACACCGCAATTGTTTCAACATCTGGGCAATTGTTTACTTATGGAGATGGAACTTTTGGGGTTCTTGGTCATGGAAATCTCCAAAGTGTTGCTCAGCCCAAAGAAGTTGAGTCACTTAGAGGTTTGTGGGTCAAATGTGTTGCATGTGGGCCATGGCATACAGCTGCGGTAGTGGAAGTCATTGTTGATCGTCTTAAATTCAACAATCCAGGTGGAAAGCTATTTACATGGGGTGACGGAGATAAAGGAAGGCTTGGTCATCCTGGTGAGGAGACAAAGCTCTTACCGACCTGTGTGGCAAAACTTGTTGAGCATGATTTCATTCAAGTTTCCTGTGCAAGCACCCTAACTATTGCACTATCTAGCACAGGAAAAGTTTATATGATGGGAAGTGCAGTGCATGGGCAACTAGGCAATCCAGAAGCCAAAGATAAATCATTAGTGCTTGTGCAAGGAAAACTTAGAGAGGAGTTTATTACAGAGATATCCTCGGGATCATATCATGTTACTGTGCTAACATCAAGGGGAAGTGTTTACACATGGGGGAAAGGAGCAAATGGACAGTTAGGATTAGGTGATACAAAAGATAGAAGTTGGCCAACTTTAGTTGAATCACTGAGAGACAGGCAGGTGGAACATATTGCTTGTGGGTCAAGTACTACAGCAGCAATATGTTTGCACAAGTCTGCATCTAGTACTGATCAATCATCTTGCAAAGGATGTAACATGTCTTTTGGAATTACGAGGAAGAAACAAAACTGTTACAATTGTGGCCTTCTCTTCTGCCGCACATGCTGCAGCAAGAAAACCCCAAATGCCTCTCTGGCCCCTGACAAGACTAAAGCTTTTCGGGTATGTGATCCATGTTTTTACCAACTTCAGAGGATTGCTCAGTCAAGCAGGTCATCAAAGCTTGAAAACCATAGTCCAAGACCCTTACCGATTACCCTAAAGGCAGTTACTTGCGAGAAAGTAGAGCGAGACGAGGCAAATACTACATCAAGTCGAATGATGGCAACAAGAAAATATCTAACTGAGAACAATCAATGTTTTGACAGGAGGTCTGCCAACAGTCTAGGGGAAAGTAGGCAGTTCTCTGATCCTGTTACGTCCTTGCTGGATACTTTTCCAAGATGGGGCCAAGTTCCTTGTCCTAAAGTCTTTAGAAGAGACTATGGACAGATGAGAACCCAAAATGCTCATGCGAGGAATTCGCTGGCTTCAGCCTCTCCAACTTATTTCGTAGAACCAAAATTTGTCCCCTCTGCTGGTCTAAATATGGAGGAAGACTTGAAAGAATCAGACAAGATCCTACTCGAAGAAGTTTGCAAGCTAAGAACTCAGGTAATCTAATACCCAGTGTTCTTACATTGTTATTCAATTGCTTATACTTGGCCGAGAGGCTGAGACCATTAAATTTTGATGCACTCTGTTTATAAATGCTGCTTTGCCTGTGTACTTATGTGAAGTAATTCAGCATGAAGCTTATCATTTAACTGGTAAAAAAATCTGCAGAGGTGAATAGCACAACCAATATGTATATTTCACATAGTTCGAGAGATTCACGTTTAACAGATGTTCTTAGCCTGCCAATTATCTCAACTTACATTACTGACCTCAATTGTATAGATGGATGGACATTGAGAAGGCATTTTTCTATTATAAATTTTTTCTATATATATGCCTTTCACATAGCATAACATGAACATTAGCATTCTACTATAAGAACTTTAGATAAGCAGAAGATTGCTTCTCTTCTCATATAGTGTTCAATTGGTCATAATTTCTAATTATGGTGCCTCAAGAGTCAAGATTCTGACTGCTTTGCATATATACTGTAGGTTGAAAGTCTTGAAAGGTTATGTGAAACAAGAAAGGAGAAAATTCAAGAGTGTCAACAAAAAGTTAAAGAGGCCTGGTCAGTGGCTAAAGAGGAAGCTTCTAAGAGTAAAGCAGCAAAAGAAGTTATAAAAGCTTTGACATCAAGGGTAACTATTCTGTGAGTTAATTATTTGGCTGTCTCCTTCTATAAAACAATTTGATCTATAATATGTATCAATGTATTACCCCGTGGCACAAATTTTTTAAAGAAACTATTTTATGAAAATGTCAGTAATTCATTGGTGGGATGCCTCTTTTTTTTTTGCTGAAACTTGTTATGCTAATTGCAGCTTCAGGCAATGTCAGAAAGCTTTTTTGCTGAAGCAGAAGCTAATGTTCAAGCTATTGCAAATGTACTGCAGACAACATCAACATATTCAGATAGCCAAAATCATATAGGTGGACACCGAATTGTTGTGCCTCTTGCAAACGCACAACTAGAGGAGAGAAATGTTGATAGCCTATGTGGTTCTCCAATTGTATTCTCTAGTACTTTAAGATCCTTCTATAACAAAGAAAACAACGTGGACTCCCGGTCAGCAGAAGAATCTTGTAGAGAAGCTGATCATGGCCAAGCTGGGCTCAGAACATCAAAAGTTGAATGGGTGGAACAATATCAGCTCGGTGTTTTCATCACATTGACAGTGCTGCCAAGTGGAAAGAAGGGACTCAAGCGAGTCAGGTTCAGGTATATTTCCTTTCATAAGTTGTATGATACAGAAAATTTTCCACCTTTTGTTAATATGTTACCAAATGGCTTTTTGGTTGAATTTTGCAGTAGGAAAAAGTTTACTGAAAAGGAAGCAAAGAAGTGGTGGGAAGAAAATCAGCTTTCTGTGTACAAAAAGTATGATGTTGAAGGATATGAAAATGTGAACCAAGTTTTGCTGAAGAAGTAGTCTCCACTTTCCTTTTTCTTCACAATGTAAATTGAACATCATTACAATAGTGATTTATTCATGTTACAGAAATGATTATTTAATGAGCTTAACATGTGAGGGGAAAGTGCAATGTTGTATTGTCAATGGCATATGGAAGGGATATCATACATAATTACATATAAGTTTGTTATTAGTATTTGATAAGTCAAAGTTCTTTTTCTTAAATTATGAAAAAAAATCAAATGTTTTCAAAAATGTTTTAATTTAAATTCTTGTGACTTAGATTTTTTTAAATTTTTTTTATTATTTCTAAATATATAAAGTTTGTTCCAATAGTTTAAAAAATTGATGGTCAATATAAGAAAAATAAAAAAATTCCGACGCTCGTGCACAACTTGGTCATTTTATTTTTGGAATTTATTGTGTGATAAAGTATTCTAATAAAATGCATTTTTCTTGTCATATTTTTATATGAAATACTTGATAAAATGACAAATAATATCATATTGTTTTTATATACTTAAGCTACTTTATCCATAAACTTAAAGTTTTGAGTTGAATGCTAAAGTTTTTCCACGTGATATCAGAATTGTTATAAAATGATAACAAAAAAAAGAAATATAGACAAAGTAAGTAACAAGAGGAAGTTATAAATATTTTTAAAAAAATATGTTTTTCAAGTGTATTATACATCACATCTCATGCTTATATTTATATTTTGTTATGTATGAGTGATTATCAGATTGTCTTAAACATGATATTAATTAAAGAGATCATGAAAAAAATTATAAAGGTGTGGAAGATTAGGGAGATTTTATGGAAGGTTTTTATTTATCTATTCTCTATTGCTTTGATTTTTAATTTCTTAATTCATTTTATCGAAACACACTTTCTCAATTTATTTAATTGAGCCTCTAATTAATTCTCTTTGGGCAAGTCCGGCCAGACCCTTAGCATGGAACATACTCTCTGTATACAGTGTTATTAACGACTTGTTATTGTATTGGAGATCATAGAATGAAGGAAAAATGTATAAAATTAGTCTAATACTTTATACTTCTTCAATTCATTTTATTTATCATATTTTTCTTCTGCATAGACTATAAGAAAGTATAAACTAAAAGAATTAATATTTGTCCAAATTATCTTTTATTTTATTAACCTCAATTTAACACCATTAACTTTTTCATCATATTACTTTTTCTCTATTATTCGGTAAGAATAGAAATTAATTAGTACGTATATTAATTTTTAAAAATAACAATTGTTTTATTTGGCTTTTTTAGTATTGGTAAAATTACAGAATGCCCTTTCACTTGTCATTTAAACCCCGGCTGTCGTCCGGCGCCTCCGCAACGGCATAAAACCCTTAGCCGTAGAATGACCTTAAAGCTCTTCAAGTATGCTCTTCCTCAATCACTTCCCATTCGTTTTCTTGGTAATCAATTCAAAATTTCTTCAAGATTCATGTGCGCCGACAATAAACTTGATAAATTGGTAGACCCACTATTGAAATTCCCAGAAGATGAATATACTCCACAAGAAGAAAATAAGTTCAAAGAATCATCTTTTTCAGTTCAAGAATTGGGTTTTTTGCAAGATTCAATCTTGGGTTCAGTTAGCTCCAAAACTGACACTGGTAAGTTTCCAGATGATGTTTTCTTGGTGATAAATGCTATTAGGAACGGTAATGATGGGTTTGGAGAGAGAACTGAGAAAGCTCTTAGGTTGTTTAGGGAGAAACTCAACCCTGGTTTAGTGGTTGATGTGTTGAGAAATATACATAACCCTGAATTAGGTGTTAAGTTTTTTAAATGGGCTGGTAGACAAATTGGGTATGTGCATAATGCATCTGTTTATGATGCTTTGTTGGATTTAATAGGATGTGTTGGTGTACCAGAACATTTTTTTAATGATATAGGGAAAGACGATAAGGAAGTGCTTGGAAAGTTGCTTAATGTGTTGATAAGAAAGTGTTGCAGGAATGGGTTGTGGAATACAGCACTGGAGGAGCTAGGGAGGCTCAAGGATTCTGGTTACAAGCCCTCCGCTGTGACTTATAATGCATTGGTTCAGGTGTTTCTGCAAGTAGATAGATTGGAGACTGCATCTTTAATATACAAGGAGATGTCAGAGTTGAATTTTAAGATGGATAAGCATACAATAAATAGCTTTACGCGATCATTGTGCAAAGTGGGTAAATGGAGAGATGCCCTTGATTTAATTGACAAGGAAGAGTTTGTGCCTGATACAGTGATTTATACTAATATGATTTCAGGATTATGTGAAGGTTCCTTCTTTGAAGAAGCAATGAATTTTCTCAACTTAATGCGCACTATTTCGTGTATTCCTAATACTGTAACATATCAAGTTTTGCTTTGTGCACTCTTAAACAGGAGAAAACTTGGTCGCGTCAAGAGGGTTCTGAATCTTATGATTTCTGAAGGTTGTTATCCAGGTCAGAAAATATTTAATTCTCTTGTACATGCATATTGCAGATCAGGAGATTACTGGTATGCCTACAAATTGCTAAAAAAAATGGATGGCTGTGGCTGTCAGCCAGGATACGTCGTTTACAACATATTGATTGGTGGTATTTGTGGCAACGAGGAGTTACCAAGCAAGGATGTACTAGAATTGGCTGAAAATGTATATAGTGAAATGCTGACTGCAAGACTAGTACTGAATAAAGTCAATGTGGTCAATTTTGCTCGATGCCTCTGTGCGTTTGGAAAATATGAGGATGCTTTTAGTGTTATTAAGGAAATGATGAGCAAAGGTTTTGTACCTGATGTCAGTACATACTCGAAAGTGATTGGTTTTCTTTGTAATGCCTCCAAAGTGGACAAGGCATTCTTGTTGTTCCAAGAAATGAAGCGGAATGGAATTGTTCCAGATGTTTATACTTACACAATTTTGATTGATAGCTTTTGTAAATCTGGCCTTATTCAACAGGCTCGTAATTGGTTGAATGAAATGATTCAAAAGGGCTGTACTCCTAATGTAGTGACTTACACAGCTATTATCCATGCTTACCTCAAGCAACGGAAAATTTCAGATGCAAACGAGCTCTTTGAATCAATGTTAATGCAAGGATGCATCCCAAATGTTGTCACTTTCACTGCTTTGATTGATGGATACTGTAAAGCTGGACATTTAGAGAAGGCTTGCCAGATCTATGCCAGAATGAAGGGGAGTTTAGATACCCCTGAAGTAGATTTATACTTCAAGGTTGATCTTGATGGTAATAAGGAACCAAATGTTGTTACATTTGGAGCTATGGTTGATGGATTGTGCAAAGCACACAAGGTGAAGGAAGCTCTCAATCTTTTGGATGTCATGTTAGCGGAAGGATGCGAGCCAAATCATATTGTTTATGATGCATTGATTGATGGGTTTTGCAAGGTTGGTAAACTAGATGATGCACAGGAGATATTTGCTAAAATGTCAGAGTGTGGATATAGTCCAAGCATATACACCTACAGCTCTCTAATTGATAGGCTATTTAAGGATAAACGTTTGGATCTTGCTGTAAAAGTCTTGTCTAAAATGCTCGAGAGTTCTTGTCCCCCAAATGTTGTTATTTACACAGAGATGGTAGATGGCCTTTGTAAAGTTGGTAAAATAGATGAAGCTTATAAACTTATGTTGATGATGGAAGAAAAGGGTTGTCATCCAAATGTTGTAACCTATACTGCAATGATTGATGGATTAGGCAAAACTGGAAAAGTGAATAAATGTCTTGAACTCATTGAGAGTATGGGTAATAAGGGTTGTGCGCCAAATTACATAACCTATTCAGTTGCAATAAAGCATTGTTGTGCTGAAGGACTTCTGGATGAGGCTCTCCAACTCCTAGAGGAAATGAAACAAATAAGTTGGCCAAAACACATGGCCAGCCATCTTAAGGTTATTGAAGGCTTCAGACGGGAGTACTTAGTCAGTCTGGGTATATTAGAAGACATGAGCAACAACAGTTTTCTTCCGGTTATTCCAGTTTATAGGCTTCTAATTGATAGCTATCAAAAAGCTGGAAGACTTGAATTTGCCGTTGAGCTACTTAAAGAGATTTCATCATCTTCACCATTTCCGCATCTTGATAAGAAAATGTACTCTTCTTTGATCGAGTGCCTTTCTGTTTCAAACAAAATTGATCTGGCATTTGAATTATATGTGGACATGACAAAGAAAGGTGCAGTTCCAGAGCTGACGGACTTTGTTAACCTCATCAAGGGTTTAATAAGTATGAATAAATGGGAGAATGCACTTGAACTCTCTGAGAGCTTGTATTACATGTTACATGCATCGAAATCCACCAATATTCAGCTCCTTTAGAGGTCGAGATATGATGCATTGAGACTATCTCATCCTGAGGCACTACCTGCTGGCACCTGATATACATTCTTGGAGCTGCGCCGATTGTCAGGCTGCAGTTTGACCTTGTTATTACCAAGTACCTGGTCCGGCAGCTGAATGTGCCAGGATTTTCTGATCGAGCCGTTGATCAGGTTTTTCTTTCTTCAAATTTTGAACTGTTTTTTCTTCTTTTCTTGCTTTCAATGTTCTGTCTAGTAAATTATTCTTTTGTCCCTGGACTAGATTCTTGATATTTGCTATATGGGTGAAGGACAATTTTTTTTAAAACTGTTAAATGTGTATTCCTCAGCATTGAGGACATGCTGGATACCATCAAAAAGTGTTAGATTAAAAAAAAAAAAACAAATAGAAAAGAAGATACTTACAGAGATCTTAATAAATCTACAAAATGATCTATATCCTCTTAACCTACTTCTTTACACCAAAAGTAGGAAAGATATTATACAATTCCATTTAACTTTCTGAATGGAATTGGATCTATCTTTAAAACACCTCCCACTTCTCTCTCTCCAAACTGTCCACCAGATGCATTGTGGTATGATCCACCACTTCTTTTGACAATTCTGTGATCAAGGCATTCAGAGCTCCTATATTGTTCCATGAGGAAGCAGTAATATGTTTGTGACATTGTTGTATTTGTTTTGCAGTATTTGTTCCTCCTAAAGTATACAAATTCTGAGCGAAAACTATATATCAGGGCCTTGAGTTGATTGCCTTTATTGAGACCTTTTCACAATTTTATAGCATAATATAGGTCTAGAGGGCTGATGATACACATCACAGCATAACAGAAAA